TTTGGAAAGCTTTGGCTCAATGTATTTGTAGAAGCTTATTAATGCCTCATAACTTGGGAATCCGGTGTAAAATAAAACAGCAGCATTGTCATCTTTAATTTTGTCAATGGAAAATTGACGTTCCTATAACACAGCATTTTCCTTTTCTGCTTCACTGAGTTTTTCCTGGCAGTCAGCTAGCTGAGTTTCAAGTAATTCAATTCTCCTTTGCAGTTCAAGGACACAATCAGGCTCTGTTTGAGGGGACTCGCACTCCACTTCAGCTGCATTTTCATCACACTCTGAAAATGAATGAGCAGCATCAGTTGACGCATCAATAGAAGAAAATACTGAGCAGGATCCAAACGGCAATGCTGATGCTGCTACTCCAACAGTTGACTCATCCATCTTTCTTTCCTTTGGTGCCTTTCTTTGGTTTGATTGCTTTGTCCAGCTAAATATACATGGCTCTGCACCTTGTATAAAAAAAAAATTAATCTTATTAAATGTGACAGTAATCATTTCAGATTTATTTATTATGAGTTAATCTGCAATTAAATTGATTGCCTTTGTGAAGTCCAGCAATATTAATAAGCATACATTAAATATTCTATCATTCAGTGACAAAAATCACAAGACATGAAACAATTTAAATCATAAAGTTTACAATAAAACAACAATCGTCGAATAAAACAACCAAAATCTTTGATTTGGGAAAAATTAAACGAATCCTTGTTTCTAAAGACCAAAATATCTTTGAATTTTGAGTTTTTCATAGTTCAAATCACGAACGCACACAACAAAAGCTCGACAATATCACAAACCTGTCTTCAAATTCCAGCGACCAGAAAGTTTTTTCGAGATATCTTCTGCCCGAAAATGCTCATGACAGAGGACAGTGGCGGTGGAAACAACAAAGCCGTCCTGTCCGTGTCGTCGCTTGATAAGTGAACACCACCGATTCCTTCGCTGAGCGTCCTTGGGAAACTCGAAGAAATGATAACTTGTACGAGTACCGTTTACATTATAGGCGCTATTATTGCAGTCAAAGGCTGCACAATACTTCCCTCTTCTCTTTCGAGGGGCGGAGGATGTTTCCCCGACGCTTAAGCTTTCATTCATCCCACCAAAGACTCGACAAACCAACGAAACCCTTGAAAACACCAACAAACTCTTATGTGACGCCCGAATCGGGTCACCGGCAGCCTCGCTATCGTGTTTGCGCGGTTACTAATCCAATATGGCGCCAGGATCTGTAAAAAGGACTATTCCCGCTTGTGGGGTCAAATTGCCAGAACCCCGTTTAATTGCACGATCACAGCTCGGATGCTTCTTGAAAAATGTGATGACTACCAATTTTAGAGATTAATTCTTCAGTTTCCAACATAAGGAAAAAAAATATCGTATAGCAAGCATGTTCATCATATCGCCTCGAGATGTTGAGCGAAGAGAAAGTGGCTCCATGTTTTGTGACACAAACCATTTCCTGAAGTTCGAACGAATCGAGTAGAAAGCATGAAAACATAGCTGAAAAGTACGACAACCAAACAATTAAATCCCCTCATCCCGCTGTAGAACCATCTCCATTTTACCCGTGAGATTGTTTGCACCACACATTTGCGGTCCGTAAATTTGATTCTCAGATGTTTGACGGGTTCTCACATGACAATACCGTAAAAATCAAATTACCCCGTTAGACTTAATGTAAACATGAACATCGCTGACTTAATCCCATTTTATTTTAATTTTGGGAAAGGCCATTATTTCGTCCTTAGGGTAAAACAACACATCTTCGGCAAAGCGCAAATTTTCCAAATGAATAGAGCAAATCCTGCGATAATTAACAGAAGAGAAAAAAAAAGTAGAGAATTGCGCTCGCCGTTCGACATCATTTGAAAACTTTCTAGGCAAAACAAAATATGTAGGATAACTTCTTTTCCCATAACACCACGACTGTATTAAACTTTCAAACGAAAGGACAAGAAATAACTTGAAGAATACGAACACTATGAAATATTATTCGAGCGATGAACCGGCGTGAGAGTTCTTAGGCGATGAATGCCAGAGTCAATGTTTAACCGAAACGTGATCAGTTGAATTAAAAACTGAAGCTAGTATCAAACGACGATTGGTAAAAAAAAAATTGAATTTTTTTCTAGGTCTTAGCGTAAGAGAAAACCCAGATAGGACACGACTTACCTCCTCTTCTTTCGCGGATCCTTTGTAGTTCGCTTCTCTTTGTTGATGACCTCTTTTCAGTCTGTTTTCAGGAGCGACTTTGTATTTCCTTCTCGCGTTGCCCTTCGTCAGAAACTCGCCTTTTTACTTATGCCCTTTATTGTTCTCTTTCGCGTTCCTCTCGCCGTATTCTGCCTATTTTGGCGTCCTTTCTACCTTTCTAGCGCGATTTTCTGAACTCGCTTTACGCCGTTTACTTGTTGCTTTCTTTGGTCGCTCTGTCTCTTTATATCCAGCCTATTTTCAATTAAAACCTTGAATCATAAAAATTTCCTCCGGTTGACAAAGCTTAAACTCTGCCGGTATTGTTGTCTTACGAGTTGTTTAGAAATTGCAAAATACTGAGAATTACTGTTCAACTACATCCTGACCAGTTTGATTTCCCGCTAAAAGCGCGAGAGGCAAATTACATAGCCCTCGTGCAATGCCTAACCGTGTGCCCGCAGTACGCTACACTGCAGACACAGCAGCAAAACGAGTGCGCATGCTTGGAACGCGTGCGAAAATTTACGCGCTAAAAGGAATGGGAATGAAAATATTTCCATAGTGACACTATAGCGGGGATATGGCGGCATTTTTAAAATTCATATTGTTTGTTTATATTTCGCGGGGATAAGCCCTGGCCTGAACAGATAAGGTTCCCACTTTCAAAAAAGTTTCTTTCAAACCTGCTCTGCAACATATCTTTTCCAACAAAAAAAATTATTCAGGGCACAGGTGTGAATTTTAGTATCGAAGTGGAGCGGTCGTAACATGGCAATGAACTTCGTAGCTCGTGCTATTGTTATAGCACTTGGTTTTATCGCCTCCTCAGAATAGCAAACCGTCCGGCGAAAAGGTTTGTTGTTTGAGAGAAAAAACACGCCAAAGCTCTTCTTGTAGAGGAAGCATAATTGCCTTTAACACTGAAATAACTCCAGTCGCAGAGGCAGTCATCAGCAATTCGAAAAAGGAGCAACATGTGAACGTGCCTACTACCTTCACATTCTTCCACTCTGAGTGATACACCTATTCCCACAAGACTGTACAAAATATTTGACAAGGCTGGAGAAAGTGAGGCTTGTTATCAACCAAGGACGCTGTGGTGCACAAGTTGTTGGAGAAATGCCGACAAAACATTTGCCTCGAGGACCACTTTACTTCAGATAATTATATTCAGAGGCTTTCATTTCCTGCTGGATATTCTGGGTTTACATACTTCATAAAGCAAATGATCACTTTGTTTCCATGAGAAGATTAAAACTTAAACCAAAAATATTCATGCAAAATGGAGATGGAGTGCCGTGCAAAATTAAGTAGGAGAGCCTAGCAGATTCGACAGATGGTCAATGCAATTCACAAGCTATGGCAGTTAAATGTATGATGCAAAACATACTGCTCTACCATAATTAAATAGCTTAACAGAGTCAGGGAATTGGTGCACAGGCTGGTACATCCAATTTCTCAACATTAATCACCAGGCATAAGTAAGTACCTTACTTATGCCTTACCATAAACTTAAACTGAGAAAGGTAACCAATCCACCATATTGCAAATAATCAGAGTTATGCTACGATTGTACCTGCAGGGTTAAACATCTCCACGACAACATCAATCAGGTAATAATATGATACTGATAAAGGTTCTGCATAGTGCAGAACCTTAACATGTCAACACATGTTAATTGTTGAAAATATTTCTATATAACTCACAGAGTGGTCAAATATATTATTATTGCATTTTCTATATAATCTTGCACAGAGCTGGTGGAAAAATTTCAGTCAGCCTTGTACAGGCACTTTGAGAGTGGGGCTCTATCTCTATTTATATAATAAGCTCAGTTATGCACGCATTCTGATTGGTTCTCATTTATGATCTAATGGAGGACAGATGTATAGATGACATCATTATTAAAACTTTTTTTAAATTCTTTATTATATAAAATTATTATCATATAAAACAAATAGATTCCAAGTTGCTGTGCGTCTGTTCAGTAATAGATCACAGAGGACATCAAAATGTTGTAAGAACATCAGTGACACACTCGGCTGCGCCTCTTGTGCCACTTTTTTGCTCTTACCACATTTTGACGTCATCTGTGATCTATTACTGAAGAGACACACAGCAACTTGGAATCTATTTGTTAAACAGATCCAATGATATGCAGGCACTTTGTGAGACTCATGCACCACATCTCTTTTACATACTCATCAGTACAATATTGAGTGCAGATAGACATGCCACCAGTGAGAGGCATCCACATTTACAGCAGCAAAGAATAGTTGTACTTCTTCACATGGAATAGGTTAACCAGGTCTGCACAGACTGCAGGGATAATCTTGGGCCTTAGCAGTGGAATATGTATGAATGACACATTTAAACAGCAGCAGGCAGAACAACCATGAGAAAGTTGTGGACAAAACTGTGCTGACAGCCTGCAGGATAAAGCAGAACAAATACAACAAGCAATAAACATAATCACTTTTGTAGAAACATATAAGCAATCAATAAAATGGATATTAATTTTTTTTAAGACCAAAAAACTTGTTATCCATCTCACTGATGATTTCCATGTTATGAATGTGCATACTTAACATACTGATAAAGTTAATGTGACAATTCACATGGCATCAAGTCTCCCAGCCATAGCAGTTGCTCATCCAGTTGATGGAGCAATGATCCTTTTCTAACAAGAGTAAATGAGTTAGGTGATTCCTTCAATATAGGTATTATAGAGCATGATACAAGTTGCAACATTGCAGACAGCCACAATAGTCATGAACAGCCCGAAAGCCAGCTAGCAA